AACGACTGCACAGTTTATAAGTTATATCTATGTTAGATATGCAACAGAACTCTAGTCCACAGTCTCCGCGTATATCACGCTCTGCCATGAGCCCAAACTGCTTTTCCTTTGGTTTCTTTGAAGCGTGAAGCAGTTTGCTCCATAGTTCCACAGTTCTTCCTTCCAATACACACACACGGACCAATCACAGCGGAGCTTCCTTGCGGCGACCCTTACGTAGTTAGAAAATGTCAATGCTGCGCGGCAGGCAACGTAAGGGCCTTGCGGTGACCAACACGTTGCGCAAGTGACGTCACGTCACCTCCGTAAGGTGGTGACGCCTTTTTACGACTTTTTACACACGCAGATCTAGTTACGCACACACAAATCTTGTTACGCACATACAAATCTATTTACAGTCGCCCAAATATTTTTTCTACACACCCACAAATCTGAATACGCATGCACAGATTTTTTTTACGCACACACAAATCTGTTTACGCATGCACAAATATTATTGAAACAATAATAGTTCCATAATTAATCATGTCATTTTTGCCAGTTTATTACCAGGAAATTACAATATTAGGTACATGTAATTTTTTATCCTTCTTTTCCTACCGTATATCAAAATATTAATGGGCTGTAATTTTTAAATAAGTTGTTCCTTTGCAAATAAAACTAAAATAAATTTAAATGGAACAATTGTTGGGCTTTATAAACAATTCAACACCCAATAACAACTAACCCAATGTTTTAAGGAAATGATCCTTTCTTCGGGCTGTTGTCGTTGTGCTCTTCGTCCCCTGGTTGTGTGAGCACTCCACAACAAAAAACATCATCTATTATATTCTACACTTTTGATCAAAAAACACAACTGCTAATATTAGTCTTATTAGGGTCAGCTTTGGGTCAGTGGTCATGTGGTCATATGTTTAGAAAAATAATGACCGTATTTTCTGGACTGTAAGCTAGGGCTGGGCGATATGGCTGAAAACTATATCACAATATAAGTAGTTCATATCGGTCGATAACGATATATATTGATTATTATTTTTTAAATCTTTTTTACCTGAATAATTAAGTTTGTCATGTTGGCTAGCACACGTTAGCAGCCTTGTTTACAGTGACGGGGGAATGAGGCTAGAGGAATATGTTCACAAGCAGTCTCCCCCATAGTTAGTCCAGGTGTAATCCTGGTTTAGTCCTGGTTTATCTCCTGTTTTGTGTCCCCATGACAGCTCCGTACGGCAGCTATCTGATAGCCGCACGGAGGAAAAAGTTCATCTCTTGCTTTCATCGCATGCATCGGGTCTCCGTGTCCACTGCCTCTCCTGCGCCGCACATGCTATGCCTCGCACGGACATGCATAACCATTGACACAGCATTGAAAAACAATCTTAGATCTATAGACATGGTGTACTTGTTGTTTTTGTATTTCCCAGAATGTGCCTCTGCTCAGGACTTTTTATGACTCTATGGTCGCCTCAGCCATACATTACGCTGCCGTGTGCTGGGCCCCGGGCACTCCTAAGTCGCTAATACTGATCCTCTCTACTCTTAAGAGATCTCATCTTAGGAGCACTCCTAAGGAACAGGCCACCGTTTTTACATACTGACATATGTTCTTACCTTACCTTAGACTTGAGCTGAGGTGGGGATGGTGTGTTCAGGGTGATGAGCTGTGTTGCTTTTATACCAAACATATCGTTTTGCATTGTGGCCAAAAAGTTTGATTTTGGTTTCATCTGACCAGAGCACCTTCTTCCACATGTTTGGTGTGTCTCCCAGGTGGCTTGTGGCAAACTTTAAGAGACTTTTATTGGATATCTTTGAGAAATGGCCACTCTTCCATAAAGACCAGATTTGTGCAGTGCACGACTGATTGTTGTCCTATGGACAGACTCTCCCACCTCAGCTGTAGTTATCTGCAGTTCATCCAGAGCGATCATGGGCCTCTTGACTGCATCTCTGATCAGTCTTCTCCTTGTTTGAGATGAAAGTTTGGAGGGACGGCCGGGTCTTGGTAGATTTGCAGGGGTCTGATACTCCTTCCATTTCAACATAATTGCTTGCACAGTGCTCCTTGAGATGTTTAAAGCTTGGGAAATCTTTTTGTATCCAAATCCGGCTTCAAACTTCTCCACAACAGTATCTCGGACCTGCCTGGTGTGTTCCTTTGTCTTCATGGTTCTCTCTGTGCTTTAAACAGAACCCTGAGACTATCAAAGAGCAGGTGCATTTATACGGAGACTTGATTACACACAGGTGAATTCTATTTATCATCATCAGTCATTTAGGACAACATAAAGGGGCCAAATAATATTGCACTGCCCACTTTTCAGTTTTTGTTTTTTTTAAAGTTTTAATTATCCAATACATTTTGTTCCACTTCACGATTGTGTCCCACTTGTTGTTGATTCATGACAAAAAATTAAAATTTGATATCTTTATGTTTGAAAACTGAAATGTGGCAAAATGTTGAACGGTTCAAGGGGGCCGAATACTTTTGCAAGGCACTGTACCTGTCTGGTCTTTGTCCGTGCGCTCTGTCATGCAAACGGAGCACAAACGCAGCCTCTTCCACATACTGTGTAGGGGAATACAATTGAGAGAGTGATGATTGTCCCAGATCAAACTTTGTGCTGGTTTAAGCCACCACAAAGTGCTCTTCTGAGACTCACACCACACTCTGACCTAGCTTAGTTTAGATTTAAAATGTATAGGGCACCAGCAGGCCAAAATCCTGCAATAATACTACCTAGATTTTATGCCTTGATCAGCCTAATAATCTGGAGGTGTAGAGGTCTAATCTGCCAGGGAAATCAGGGATTGTAATAAAGAAGCAATGACGAATAGCTACTTAGTTCTTTTTTTATTAACTAAACACAAGAAAGGGGTAGAGTAACGAAGGAGTTTAGTCACATAAAACCAGAATAATTCATATCACATTCAAACCATAACACAACAACAGCCCACACAGGGTTTAGTTCAGTCTTACTGTGAGAAGACCGGGTCGTGGATTGGGTCTCTGGCTTCGCTCCTCGCGTGTTGTGGATGTGAAGAAACACGCGGCGGCTGTTCTGGATAAGATGAGAGGCCGTTGTGGTTGTTGAGGAAGGCCTTTCCTTTCACGGGGCAAACAACAATCCTCCTGCACACGCGTTGCAGAATGTGCGCGTACGGCTGTCCTTAGCAGAACGGGCTGGTGAGAGTCCAGTGGGAGTCCAAAACAACGCCTGCTGTACTTTGCGTTGTGATCCGGGGAGAGAGAGAGAGAGTTCAGTTCTTTGAACGGAGGGTTACAGAGTCACGCTTTCCTGGCCGCGGCTTGTACGTTGAGTCCAGTTCAAAAAGGTACGCGTGACAAAGAACCGGTGTAGAGAGCAGGTTTCAAAGGTGTACGTTAACATGAAGTTTCATTTTCCAAGAGAGAGTTCCTGCCGTTGCAGAGCTGTTTTAGATCCCTGCTTGTGGGCATGTCAGATTCAGATTCATTTATTTGCCATTTGCAGTAAAACCACATTGGAAAAACTGTGCAAGACTACCCCAGTGTGCACCAGACGACACACACAAGAGCTCTTGCCACGGCGCCATCTTTACGGCGCCATGCGACAAATAGTAGAATAAACAGCAGAGAGCAATAACATACAGTTTCACAGACAATTGGATAGACACATTGTGCTTTGTATAAACCACTGGTTTTTTTCTCGGGATGAGCACCTCCGACGGGGCGGGGTCAGGGAGGGGGTGAGTCGGAAACACAATGAGGAGTGGAGGGGAGGGAAGGAGCAAGATGGATAGGTAGAGGGAGGCGGGGGGAGCGGGATCCGTGCTGGAGACTCAAATAGTGTGAGTTGTTGTGGATGGGGACCTTGTTATTATGGCCTTGGCCGAGGAATGTGAGATAAGAGTGGAGAGAAGACACAGCAGGAGAAAAACACATCGCCTGAGAGGGACAATATTGTATGCAATGTAGCAGTCAAAAGCAGGCAGATATTCTATTAAGTCCAATTAAACCGAATTGCGGCGCCCTCAGACCTCCGTACACAGGGGCAAATCCAAGCCGGGTCTTATGACGTCCAACCTCTGCGACTTCACAGTGATTTCAGATAGAAATTTAACAGAGATTTTAACAACGTGTTCCCTATTTAAATACAGTTACGTGATATAATACGAGGAGCACTACGTCCGTGCACTAACTCCTAAATACTTCTCTCCCGCTCACTTCCGTCAATAGAAGCAGCGTGAGCGGGAGAGAAGTCTTCAGGAGTTAGTGCGCGGACGTAGTGCTCCTCGTATTATTAAGCCTCACAATATAGTACCCCTTTTTATCCGCTGAGAAAATCGACATGTTACATTTCTGTGTTAGTATACTTTGTAGTGCAACACGTCACGTAACTCTGTTTAAATAGGGAACACGTGGAAGAGTTTGGTTGCTTCTAACGGGAGCTGATTTGGAACTATACAGTATGTGGAAGAGGCTCCGTTTGTATGACAGAGCGCACGGACAAAGACCAGACAGGTACATATCAACTAGTCTAAGGTAAGGTAAGAACATATGTCAGTATTTAAAAACGGTGGCCTATTCCTTTAAGAGCTAGGATTCTTTAGGAATAGCTTTTTTCTTAACTAGGATCTACTTTTCACTTTCAGGGGAAATTCTAAGAGTATGTCCAGATTCTAAGAATATTCTTAGAATGTGGCCACTAGGGGCAACTCTTAGCACTAAGAATCTTTAGGAATACGGCCCCTGGTCCGGCAGATAAGGCGGGGATGGAGAGGTGGAGAGTTGCTGCAGGAACGGAAGCTTTCTACATTATATGATAGCTTGATGCAGGGGCATTGCTTAAATGCTGCCAGGTGAGTGTGAGTCACTGATTGCTGATGCAGCACAGCAGCAATGGGAGGGCTGAGAGTAGTTAGCCTGTGCGCACAGTTACCAGTCCGAACCTCCGCTTTAGCTTCATGTTTATGTAGGAACTGTGCACATATTTATCTGTATAATATTTGTGTTTCAGGGGAGAAGCCGTACAAATGTTCATGGGAGGGCTGTGAGTGGCGTTTTGCTCGCAGTGATGAGCTTACACGACACTATCGCAAACACACCGGAGCTCGGCCCTTCAAGTGCAACCACTGCGACAGGTGAGCAAGACACTACACATAATACTGCACCACCATTTGCCATGGACCGGTGTTATGGCTGGCTCAGGGCCGTAACAAATAGGGAGGCTCAACAGGGGTAAAACGTGCAAAAAGTAAATTCAAATATAACAAAATGAGTATAACGTTAATACAAAGAAGGTATGAGATGTGAACATGTAATTATCAGTAGTGTGGTGCAGGTGTATGAGTGCAGTGAATTAAACCCAATGTATGGTGTGTAGTGAATGCGCATGACAGTAGCTCAGTTGGTAGAGCATTGGCCTTTGAGCCTGAAGGTCGAAGGTTTGAGCGCTGTCGTTGTGTCCTTGGAAAGACACTTAACCTCGGGGAACACCTGGTGCCAGAGTGGGGCGGCTGCGGCTGTAAAGTGCCAAACTGCCGTTGTGTCCTTAGACAAGACACTTCACCCACATTGCTTAGAATGACTCTGGTGTGTGTGTGTGAATGGTTGGTGGTGGTCGGAGGGGCGGATGGGACATACTGGTTGCCTCGCTTCTGTCAGTGTGCCCCAGGGCAGCTGTGGTTACAGTTGTAGTGTATCCCCAAAGTGTATGCAGTGAAAGAATAATGACATGTGAATTGTCTTTGAGTGTCCAAAAAGCGCTATGTAAAACCAATATTATTACATAAACCAAAACACAAACTCAAATGTGTAATGGAGGAATAGGCATAATGGCTCTCAGCAGAGCACACCAGGACATGTCCAAGGGAGTCAACAACACTGGAGAAAGTGAACAGTCTCCAGCTCACAGCTGAAGAGCCTCTCCTGATGAGGGGCGCGGCATAGTGAAGATGGGTACCTGCACATAGGAGACGTTTTCTCATCCAATAGGGCTAGAAATTCTCGCCGTAGAAGCACTTCCGTTTCATTGCTCGGATACAAACAAACCGCCAGCTGTTCAAAGAGGCGGTTTAATTGAATGGTGCAAAATGCTCTGCTTTGTTTTCGGCTGTAATCATCAAAGTTTACGCGATACATGCTCATTTTTTAGGTTTCTCAAAGACCAACTGAAGCTGTGGGAAAGGCTATGCAGTTCTGATAAAAAAAAATTGTCTGATTTTTACAGATGGTTAACTTGAATATGTATTCAAGCTAACTTGTAGCTAATGCTAACCTGTAAATAGTGCGCGGCCGAGCCTTTAATTCTGGCTTGTATTTTAAGATAATAGAAAATACTTTATTGATCTCACACAGGAAAATTTGATTTATTTATTTGAGAGATAAAGGAGGAACAATGCACATTAAATAACATTTAACAAATGTTCAAATATAACAGAAAACGGACAATCATTAATATTATATGAATAGATAACCCAACTACATCATGTTATTTTTGACAGCACAGCAAAAAGGAAAAAGGCCCGATGTGAAGCTGCAATGAGTGTGAAGTGGAGATGGAGCTAACAGATAGAAAACTGATCATTCATATACATTGGCTTATAACCAAAGCAGCAATGATAGCTGTAAGGGACAACATCAATTTATTGGCATGGGAATAGTGATTCTATAGTTTCTTTCTGATGCATAATAGTGGAACAAAATACAATGAGTTTGAACACGGCCCTGCACCTTTCTCATCTCCCCGTCATATAGAAACTTCAGGACATGGCCGGAGTTCACAGCTAATTGCGACAGCTCACTCAGTTTTTTTGTCCCTGAGACGAAATGTGTCCAAAACAACACAGAAAAATCCATCAAGGAGGAAGAAGTAGGCGATGTCAGCACCATACAACTGGAACGTGTTGTTTGTTTGTATCCGCGGGTGGAAATCTCGCAAAATTTTGCACTTCCGCTTTTCAGCCCTATAATAACACCATGAGGAAGTCCAACACACCTAAATGTAACTAGAAATCCAATGGTTAGTTAATGCGATAAATTACCACACTTTTTCTATACCTCACTTCAACGTGGACTTAAAATCAAATGTGAAACGAAACATCTACAATTCTCCATGAAAATTCCTATAAAATATGTAATTCCTAATATTCTCACTTTAAAGGAGTCACTGATCTGTGAGAAAATTACCTTGAGATTCTGTCATGTTTCAACGCTCGTACCAATGAGCCGCTGAGGAGAGCTGCATTTTACATTTCTAATTAAAGCCACAATACAGACCTTGTGTTTTGGATTACACATACTCATTTGGGTAGAGCACTGGCCTTTGAGCCTGAAGGTTTTGGGTTCGAACCCACCACAGGTACTTTGACTGAAGCCCCTGCAGAAAGATCAGCTGACAGATCAGCCATCCTCATGTGCACCACCTGCAGGAGGATCAATCAATGAGGGGCTGGTGCTCTGTGAGTTGGGTGGCAGCTGATTGTCACCCCCCTGACCTGGAAATGGAAAAAGGGGAGGAATATGGATGGATGGATATGATTATAAGCTGGTTTATTGGAAAAGTAGCAAGTCAAAATTCTGTGGTTTTCTGATTATCTGGCTGTTTGTCATGATCATAGATTCTATATTGCAAGACTTTAGCATTATAACAAAGTATGTAAGAAAATAGAATCTCGAACTTTGTTGAGTATAAAATACGGTATATTCTTAGACAAGAAATATATAGTTGTATGTATACTGTATATGTTAGCAGCTTGAGGGTATGTGTAATTGGAATGTTGTTTAAGTTATCATTTGATAAGTCGTATGTGGCTAGATACGTGCGACAACGCAAAAACTCTGGTTATCTCTGTCTGCATGCAAACGCATAAACGGAGGTTGCAAAAATCTTTTGCCCGCAGTTTTTTAATATATTTGTTTATGATGCGTTGTCATGTGGATGACAGGTGCACATGTTGCACCTGCACATATTTATGTTATTGTGCGCTAACAGCTCGAGCACGGATCGCGTTGTTTGTATCAGAGCAATGTGTACAACTGTGAGACATGTCTTACCCCAAAGTGCAGCAGCTCAGTGTGTGTCTGCGCTTTGGATTAAAGAGCTTAAGCGCTGAGAAATGAAGGAATGAGAATGACAGAATGAAAAGAGTGGCGTACAACCAGAGCGACCGGAGCCAGGCAGGATGCAACTATATGTTGGTGTGCTCTAACGATTAAATAAAGTCTGATTCTTGAATGTTTAAAGTGTTATTGCAATAGCACCATATTGTGACAGCGAGGGTAAGGACAGAAGGTGTTTATTCCCCATAGAAAACGCTTCCCTTTGCCCCTGGAGCGACACTCTCCCCAGCGTCCCTTGACCCTTTTCTGTTGCTGTGACCCATCCTGCTCTACCCAGAGGCTACATCACCTCTGCTTCTGTGACCCGTCTTGCTTTGCTCCACCCAGAGGCTACACTACCTCTGTTGCTGTTACGCGTTCTGCTCCACCCAGAGGCTACTCCATCTCTGCTGCTGTGACCCTTCCTGTTCCACCTAGCGGCTACTCCACCTCTGCTGCTATGTCCTGACCTGCTCCACCCAGCGGATGGTCCACCTCTGCTGCTGTGACCCATCCTGTTCCACCCAGAAAACACCCCATATCTGCTGCTGTGACCTGAAGGGCTGTTGCATATGAATACTATTGTTAGCTTTTTAGAATGATCAATTTCATTTTTTATTATTGCTGATACTGGACACCTGAATTTCTCCTACGGGGATCAATAAAGTATCCATCTATCTATCTTGGTCTGCAAAAAATGATACTAAAAGATAATAATAAAAGATACTTACTAACGCTGAACACTATAATATACAGTAGGTCCCATTTTTTTTTGTCGCCTTTCACGCGTGAATAGCACGAGACTCACGTGTGAAACACACGTCTTTTATTTCTTTTTCCCCCAGTGATGCTGCAATGACCCAAACAACCACCAGGTGGCACTTGTGAGCAGGATTAGGAACATTGGCTTATCACCGCTTATTGTTCTCTCTTCACTGGAGAATTTTCTGTGGCTTTATAGCTCAATGATAAGTAGCTGGACTCTGGTGCGAGAGGACCCGGGTTCAAGTACAGGCTAAGACACTTTTGATTTTGTTGACGTTTACATTTTTTCTAAAACATACTTAGTAATTAGGCCAACACATTTAAAATAGTTGCTAGGCAAGGCAAGGCAAGGCAAGGCAAGTTTATTTGTATAGCACAATTCATACACAAGGCAACTCAAAGTGCTGAACAAGATAGCATTAAAATCATAAATAATAACAGAACATTAAAACGAAAGATAAAAATATAAAATCCCTCAGTTGTATGCACAGCCAAACAGCACCGTTTTAACCTGGTTTTAAACATTGTCAGAGAGGAGGCCTGTCTCACATCTTCAGGAAGATTGTTCCAGATTTTAGCAGCATGAATCTGAAAAGCAGCCTCCCCATGTTTAGTTCTGACTCTGGGCACTAACAGGAGTCCAGTCCCTGTGCTCCTCAGAGTCCGGGCTGGTTCATATGGGACTAACATGTCACTAATATATTTTGGTGCGAGGCCATGGAGAGACTTGTACACAAGCAGAGCTGTTTTAAAGTGTATTCTCTGAGCCACAGGAAGCCAGTGCAGAGACCTGAGGACCGGACTAATATGGTCGTACTTCCTGGTTCTAGTCAGGACTCGAGCTGCTGCATTTTGAATGTACTGCAGCTGTTTTACAGCCTGTTTGGACAGACCTGTGAGCAGGCCATTGCAGTAGTCTAACCTACTGGAGACAAATGCATGGATAAGAATCTCCAGGTCTGCTTTAGACACTATGTTTTTGATCCTGGCAATGTTTTTTAGATGGTAAAAAGCTGCTGATGTTACTGATTTGATGTGGCTATTAAAATTTTAGTCTGAGTCCAGTATTACCCCTAGATTTCTGACCTTGTTTGAAGGTTTTAGGGAGAGAGACTGTAGGTGACAGATGACGCTCTCTCTTTGTTTCTGGGGACCAAAGACAATCATTTCAGTTTTGTCTGCGTTTAGCTGAAGGAAGTTGTTTTGCATCCACTCACTGATCTGTTGGATACAGTGAAGGAGTGAGTCCACTGGTCCATGTTCTCCTGCAGTCAGT